GTTTCCATGGCCATCTGCCCAGATCTAAACTCTGCAGCTGTAGAATTATGCTCACAATTGTTTTGATTTGTTGTTTATTTAATCCTGAATTCCCAAATAAATTATTTTTGGTTCATGTGCTGCACATAAAAGCAACAAACTCTTCTAAAAAAAATATAGCCTGATCCTAACCTGCTTGTCATCTGTCTCAAAAAGTTAATGAATTAGATGGAAAAAATCACATGGTTAAGAATAATAATAAAAGAATCTTTCTTTTCATTTCTGTGTAGGGATGTTGGAGAAATCTAAGCAGGATTCTGTAAATGGAGATGGACGATAAAAGTATTTATTGTTCTTAGAGAGTCCCCCAATTCAATGCTCCCTGAAGTCAGAGCAAATCTTTCCATTTACCCAAACAGGCTCTGTATCAAGGCTATACTATACATACATCGTATTTCTATAAAAGACAAAGTATCTTAAAACAGTAATCCACTAAGCTTTTCTGATAGGTCTATGAATTACCCTGTTTCACAGAGAAGCTAAAAGGAAATTGTGTTTTAGCGTTTACTCCAGATTTAGCTTTTGTATTTGTGTCCCAGCAGCAGCAGAGGACTGGGCAACATAGCTTTAACAGTCATTTTAGTGTTATATTGCTAAACCTTGTGTTGAACCTTAACAGAAACCTCCAAAATGACTGATTGGGAGGGGCGGGAGCACTAGCAGGGCAAGGCAACCTTTCCAGCTGGAGAAGGGGAGAGGAGATACAACGACACCAACGACTTGCTAAACTTGATTGTCCCTATGAGGGAACAAACCTGTATAATTTGAATCTCAGTAAATTTGGAATCTGTTCACACTTTATTTTTAATTGAAATGAAACTTCCACACAAAAGTACAGGAAGATCAGATTGCAAGGTGAAACTTTTACAATTAAATTGTTCAGTTCAATGAAATGAGAGCAAGTCCTAGGAGTTTTTTGATTGCCAGTTCTTTTCTGTGTCTCTGGCCTTACTGTTATTCAATGTAAGTAAGATTGTTAATTTTCTAATTAAGACATCTTATTAATTTGTAGGGAAGTTTTAATTTTTACTATAATTAGTAGCCATCAGCAAAATTAATATCTTCTACCATCTTAATAGTTTGAGAAGCAGAAAACATCAAAGTATAGAATTTCCCTGTGTGTACAAAACATACTACTTATTAATTTTGCTTGTGATTTTCCACAAGGCCCTTTTGATAGTGCTGTTGTCCCACTGTCTGTTAATTAAAATAAAGCAGTATTTCATTTTTGTACTTGTGAGAAACAGATGTTATTTAGAAGGAACAGATGGATAACTCACATACGGTATGATTTATAAATTGTTGCTTTAAAATGGAACACTCAAAATAGATCTAATTTTTGCAAACCAAAATTTTGATGAGTGAAACTAAATACCTAAAATACAAACAAATTCTTTTGAGTTATCTATAGGAAATGTTCCTACCTCTCATATTGTTGCCAAAACAAAAATAACATGTTTTCTAATATTTTCATTTTTACAATGGATCAATTACAGCTCACCTATTTGTAAAATGGATCGTACTGGCATTAGTGAAGAAGAACAAGATTTGTTACAGTGGATTTGTTCCTGACTTTTCCAGCCTTCATTTACCTTTTATTTATATTAGCAGAAGACAGAAAAGTTTACCCCAATAGGAATAAATCCACTGAAAGTCAAGAGCAGCATTGCTGCAAAGCCTGGATTAACCAGATCCTATTATACTTTCAAGTGCCTGGACTGCGAAGATTTTAATGCATTGCAAAGGTCTACCCACTGTTATGTGAAGTTAGATGTGCATGTGTAAGTGTTTAGTAGAGGCAAAGACTCTTGAGTTAAGAGTTTTCAGAAGCACTACATTTTGTCTACTTCCAATCCTCCTGGAAATTTACTGAATTTTTTTTAAAATCGCAGGCTTGTGTAATCCTAAAGTTACAGAGGAAGGGACTCATTAACAGCTCTGACCTTTCTCTTGTTACTTACAGTTATTTGCTGTGGAACCTCATTTAATCTAAGCATGTTATATCTGTGTAGTGGAAAAATCATTCCCTGGAGAGGAGAATCAGTCTTCTTAAGTGCTGACAGGCAGCAACATAGAAATTAAAATTCTGATTTCATGTTGCAAATCCTGATTTTTTCGAAGTATAAAATGAAAGAGTCATTCAAAAGTTCAAATGGAAGTGAAAGTTCAAAGCAGAGACTTGAAATGTTTTAGATCCAAAAAGGTTTGAGACGTGTTTTTACAATGTCAAAACATCTTTCTGGCTTGCGTCATAGTATGTCTTCTCAGCCTTTTTTCTTCTCATAGCACTTCCTTTTTGATCAATGTTCTGATAAAATACAATCCCTTCAAAGTTTCTCTGAGTATCTGTGAAACAGCGCATGATTGAGTGTGTGTTCAATTTTATTCATGTAAGTTCAGGTTCACGTAGGTGGGGGTTGCCCACCTATTACTTCAGTAACATTTTTCTCCAAGACTGTCTTCCAAATGACATTTTTTACTAGTATCCCTTCTGTCTGCTCTTGTTTTTACAGTCTCTGGTACACATACTTTCACATTCGCTCTTAGGTCTAGATTAGCTGCCTTCGCTGTATCCCTAACAATCTCATTCTTGCCCGTTTCTTTCCTTCTCTGTTCTGACCTTATCCTCCCCACTCACACAGCTTCCAATCCAAACTGCATTTGCACCTGACAGTCATTTTTCGTTTAATAATATTGCATCTCCAGCAGAGCTTTAGCACTTCTTCCCCTTCTCGATCTCCAGATTCTTGATTCGTTATGCCTTTTCCTCCTTTTCTTTTCCCCCTTTCTTTTAATATCTTTAGTCACCTGTCATAGCTTTACAGCTCCATGCACCATGTCAGCAGCTGATAATTTTCATGGCCTTTACCTGTATATACACTTTATAACTACACCAGCGTATACATATAAATGTAGTGCATATTTTCTTTCCTGTGGAACGCATTGTATAATATGATCTTGTTGATGTTCTTCCTTCCTAAATTTATTACTAGCAAACTAAGAGATCTTTATCAGTTGCTTTTGAAAGCCTATACTTCTACTAGTATCTTCTGTATCCAGCAATAATTAATTATTGAATTCAGAGCAAATCCAAGCACATTAAACACCTTTTAAGACGAGTAGTTTATAATGCATGTCAGCAGTGAACGTTTTCAATAGTATAGACACCCCTCGGTCTCAGTTATCGCAGCATGTTTTCATATGGTTAGCCCTCATTCTCATAAATGCCCTGTCACTGTCAGTAGAGTGACTCTCTGGGAGTGAGAATTTGCAGAAGAAGACATAGGACCCATCAACCGTGTACATATCAGTGGTCTCACTTAAAGCACTGAATCTAGTTGTACACCAAATGTATGTGTTGATATAAATATACAGATAAGAGGGAGAAAGAAAAATGTAAGTTTTTAAAAACCTCCCACATCATGCATCTAGCAGTATTTAGATTGAAATAATAATTTTTAATGACACATGCTTTAGAACAAAATGTTTCATCCACCTGTATATTATGTTTATATAATTAATGAAAGAAACAACCTTGATAAACTAACACGGTGACCATTATTGATATATGAGATAACTGTTTTGTTTTCCCTTTTTTTCTTTCACAGCAACTACAGTGCACTGTTAGGAGTGTGGATCTATGGCTTTTTTGTCGTGATCTTGCTGGTACTGGACCTTTTATATTACTCTTCAATGAACTATGACATTTGCAAATTTTACCTGGCTCGGTGGGGAATCCAGGGAAAGTGGATGACACAGGGACAGAGCCGATGGATTAGCCCTGCTCAGGACCCAAGCCAAGTACAGACACAGCCTCAGCCAGAGACACAGCCTCAAACTCAGCCACAGCCTCAAACATCACAAACAGTACATACTTTAAAAGGAGATGCTTTAAGCCCACCCCTGATGTCTTTTCAGAGTACATCTGCCTGGTAAGTTAAGCCATATTGTGATCTATTTTTTGACTCTGTTGTTTTGTAGTGTCAACACTCTCACCTGTATTTGAAAGTGCCTGCAAATTCAGGCTGAACAGCACCATTTCTAGCACATAATTCTTTATATCATGAACTGTCTTATAGAGTGATTTCTTACTCTGGAATATCTTTAAGTCATCTTTTAATACTGTTCTCAGAGAAATAGATGCTGCCATTTTTCAGTGCTAAATAGTTATACTACTCTGTGGTACAAATAAACTACAAATCTTTTTTCTGCATCAACCGTTATAAAATTAATTTTAATCTCATGTCAAAGACTAGTTGCTCTGTATGTCTAGGTATCTGTTGGTCTGGTTTTAAAAAGTTGTATAAATAGCAACACTGAAATAGCTTCAATGCGAGATGTCACAAATCCACACTATTTGTGGCATGAGACACAGAAACAACATAAAAACCAGGTTAGTTTTTTTTATATGCCTAGCCAAAAAAGCATAGCTTGATCTCATTTGACAGACTGACACAAGTAGGCTACTGTAAACTTAAATGCTACAAAAACAAAACACCCCCCCCAACCCCCCACCCGAAAAAAACAGACCAAATGGAAAACAGATACTTCAAGAGCAGGCAGAACATGCAATATAAATAGAAGAAACTAAATACTGACAGCCATGGGACAAAATGGGATTGAATGATTTCAGACTGTTTTTACCAAAGAAAACAGAAACAAAGGAAAAGAACTGGGTAAGACGATGCTCTAAATAAGGTGTCAAGAAAGGCGTGGACTTTTTACTTTGCAAGAGAGCATAAAAATTTGGAAGGGGGCAGAGAGGGTACAGAGTTACCAGTGTATTTTAGAGGTGTTCCAGAGGGCTGAGTGCTGAGTTCTAGTGAAATAAAGTGATCTAAGAATGAGTAGGGTGAAAAAGATGACAGCAGCTTGGTCTGAAAGCTTTGGGTAGCACTGTGTGCAGATGGGATGATGATAGCAGTAGTCCTTTATTTCATAACTTGCCCTTTAATTTTGAGTGTAAATCTAGAGCAAACAGGGTTCAAATCTAGAGCAAATAGTTTTTTGTAATAGAAAAAGTAGTGATAGCTTGACCCAAGGACAAGGATCAGTGAAAGAGGAGGTGGTTTGGCATAATAGCTGGTACTGGTTGTATCCAGTGCAGATCAGACTTAAGGACCATTCTATCAGGCATTGTCCAAACAGAAGACTCTAGAACAGCTACTTAAGATAGAGAATTGCTTGTGCTTAGTTGTAAACACTCTTCTTTTCACCACTTCTTCATCTTCTCTCCTTTTTGCACACTGATTTCCCAGTCTTCAGTCAGAATTGCCATACAAGTTTAAGACCAACATTTATAGTATAATAATTATATTCTAGCTTAATACATGTGTGCACGCACGTGTGTATATATAAAAATGTAATGACTGCATGAATATATATGTGTGTGTGTATACATATATATATATAATTAGTCTGGTTATACCATTTGGTAATTCTGCCATATCATTACAAATTTAAGGAAGCTATTCCATAATTTTTGAAGGATTCTCGGTCACTTTCCATTACTGACTTTTATTGTTCTGTTTCTTTGCTTTTTTTGAAGCATTAAGCGGGGAATGTATGTTAGGATCAGGTGAGCATATCCCATATGCTGCTTTTCCTGTGTTTGCAGGAGATGAGCATTGATAAGTCACTCCAGTAACCCTCAGCCTTTCCCCAGACAACTGTCTGTCTGTGCTCCCCTCAGTTCCCATAAAATTGTTTCTTTTTTCCTAATCCTTTCATTGGTCAGTGAAAAAAAAAAAAAAAAGTAGATGTTTCCTTAGCAAAACCATATTTATCCCTTGTATTTCAGCATGTAAAACACTACAAGAGATGCCATATTTTCAAACTTATAACCTGCAGCTTTTGAAACTCACAGCCCCTTAACTAAGTGCATGGATGACTCAGTCTGAGTTGGCTACATAAAAAATACCATGAAAAAGGTAGTAGGCACTGGTGGTCACAGGCGAGGTGTTTAGCGTGTGAAAAAGGTTTTTGAGGAAACACCTCCCTCAGAAAATGACAGACTTGTGTACTACAACAGTTGCCAAGACGGTTAGGGAGTAAGAGGAGGATGCCTGGCTGTTAATTTCTCCATTAGATAATCTGCAGGTTATATACATGAAAATATGGTAATTTTGCCAGATAGAAATTAAGCTTAGTTTCAGAGTCCATTTCTGCTGCAGTTTATATTTGATGGTTGACCTCAGTACTGTCTTTTCAAAAGACAGTGAAGAAGTGCAATGGAGTTACTGGATTTATAATTTCCATCAATGGTTTTAAAATTGCCTAATCTATTAATATCTTTTTGTATTTTATACTTGAATTTCCATTATTGTAGGTGATGACACTAACCTCTTAGATGCTTTGGTAACAGCAGTTTTCCAGTCTATAAAATCAACTTTTCGATTTGTGTTGGCATTTTTAATGTGTCCTAAACTTGCCCTGGTTTTTCCCTCCATAGAGAAAATAAGCATTTTTCTTTAGCACCTCAGAAACACACTTCTGTATATATGTATTGGTGGTATCATACCATAAGAACAGTACCTGTTTACGTATGAGCTTTTTGAAAATAAGAAATAGATTTTTTTAATCCTGTGATATATGCATATATCCCAGGGCATAAAGACTTAAATACTGTTAAAAAACATTTTCAAAAACAGTTTGCAAGTTTTCATGATGACAGATGTTGTTGAAGTTGTTAGCTTCCTGTACTACCTTAACACTAATACAGTTGGAAAACACGCCTATTCTAGAAGACACGACATGATGATAATAGGGAAGTGATTCTTGCACATCAGGAATCTCAGCAACACCAAAGACTTTAGGTAGGTTCATTGCAGAGAACTGACAGTGTAAGAAACTATCCAAAGAAAGATGGCAGGATTAACGTATAGTTTTTAAAGCAGTTTGGGATCTTCCTCGATTAAAAAAAAAAAAAGTAAATGCTTTTTATTTTATAATTTCTTTTCTTGTTCTAGTTTAAATGCTATGATTTGGCAAAACCAATGACTGAAACAGATATGTCAGAGAGAAAAATCATGCAACTCATAGTATATAGTGGGTAGAACCATACCCAAGATGTTTAAACATTTTGTCATAGCAGATCACTGTATTATTTACTTGAGACAAAGAGGACCATGTATAGCCATAATATTATTATAACTAAAGAAGTCTGGAATCCATTATACATGCTGCTGGCTGCTCTGCAGACGTCTTGCAGTGTTGTGCAAGGACAGGAAGGAAAATCATTAATCTCAGAAACGTCGAGCCCGATTTAGAATAATGTTGCTTCATCATGAAGTGTATGGATTTTGCGGCCCAACTAATGTTGATTTCTTCTTTAGTATGGAAACCATCTGAGGGCTGTCCAAAGGCCTGTGTGGTCTGAAGGTCCTGGTGGATGTACCTTCGCAACCCAAACACCGTCACAGACTGCAAGTGAATGAACTTAAACAGTTGTGGCTTGCCTCATGGTGGTTCCTCCAGGTCATGGCTGAGGTGCACAAGCTGGAGCCTTCCATGCTTACTGGCCCATGTAAAAATCTGCAGTCTGGTTAGCCTGAGCAAGCTTTTAATGGCTGGCAATCAAACAGCAAGAAGCAGCAGGCAAATTGTAACTACCGCTCAACAAAGTACAAGCCAGGGAGGTGATAAAATGAAATATTGTAAGTTGAGGAATCAAAATCCTGACTACTGAAAAGACTTGTTCTCACAATCATGGGAATATTGTTAATTAATAATGACTAAAATGGTCAGACTAGCATGGAAGATCACATAAGAGGAAGTGTGGGCCAGGGCAGCCTGGCAGTTTCTCCAGATTCTCAATGGCTGTGCTGCGTTCTAGACGTGAGAGGGGAACAGATGAACATGATCTCTCTGCCTTGCTGTGGTGATGTCAAACTCCTCCTCACCTCCATCAAGGATGCAAATCACAGGGGATACTGTCTTGAAGTCTAACGTTTGCTTCTCTGTTGCCTGCTGTTCTGCACAACAGCACGTAGAGGCAATGTCTGCTCTGTATGTGATCATATATGTTACGCTACATGGTTCACGGTTTCAGAAACCTGCTGGTTGTCCAGAATCGGGAAAAGTATCAGCCGAGCAGGGTAAGCCTGCGCTTATTTCCTTTATGCAGTTGGAATGGGTTAGACAAAGGCAAGTCTATTTTACTTCCCCTTATTAGATGTTGCAGTCTGCTTTTGCTGTGAATTCTTCTGAGTCACGTGTCTTTCAGGCAACAAATAGAATAGTTTTTAGCCTGCTGCTATTCACCTGCTACTTGACATCTCTTCAAATGACTACCAAAGCACTTATAAACATAGAGAGAAAAAAGCTTATAAAAATATTGGCAGAGTTTAGAAGCCGGCAGGTAACTGAGCATGTCCACAGCAACTGTGCAAAAACCACAGACATTAAATTCTTTGCTGCTGGCTGCAAAGGCTATGCAAAATACCAAATTGATACCAAATTTTGAAAGAGGATACAGACTATCACTGGAGTGAAATATCCACACTCAGTAGGTCCTCTGCTTCAATAATTTCTGAGCTGTGCATGCAGTCTTGCCTGTGTCGCCTAAGCTTGGGACACAGCACTGAAGGGGATCTGGTGTGCAGTGTGAACATGGCCATAGTGCACCAAAAACATTAGGTGCTGGGTTGGTGGGAGGGTTTTGTGCAGAGGCTGCTCTTGCTACAACACGTTTACAGTAACAAAGTGAACAAAATATGTCTCCTTCCATTTTAAGTAAAGTGTTTTGAAAATAAGAAAGATCTCAAATGTTTGCAAAATAGCTACATTAAACAGGAATACGATGATACTATTTTAAAGATGAAATTTTTTGCATCATAGGGCAAAGCATAGTTTTTATTTACAGCCCCTACCTAGACTTTTAAATTATTCTCAGACTAACTATGGAAAACCAGAGCAACAGTAGTTTTTTTTTAAAA